GAATGAGAGTTTCTAGTGTGAAAGCAGTTCCTTGCCCGTCTACAGCGTCTTGCACTGTCTGACGCTGTAGACGGCTTGGAAGTACAAATTCTTTTCGATTTGCGACTCAAAAGAGTCAGGTACATTGGAGTTAGTAATGGAACTCCAGTCTCGTGAAGTTCTCTCTAAGAGATTTCTAAAAATTTGGCATCACTCCTGGAGGGCTTCGTATAGTTACTAAATGCAAATCCATGCATTGCTTTAGCTCAAGAAGCACTGCTCATTTGGTCATAAAGATACAAAAGACTAGTGTCACACGAACAGAAGGAGATAGTTGCTGTTTACAGAAAATTCCCAAATCCCTATAGAGAGACGAGAACTACGTCAACGTCTCCTTTGGCTGTAACTTTAGCATTTTCTTGAAGATGTTTGCTCTATAGCAGTAGCATCGAAAATCAGTACTGCCGCTCTTCTGTAGATCAAACTTTGGATTTGCACAGGCAGGATGCAAATCCCAGGAGCACCTCTCGCAGTGGTAGAACCAGCCGTTTCCTTCGTCCAAGCAAGCGTCACAAACGAACATCCCAAAGTTGTCATACCAGTCGCGGACGAGATCGAGCGTATGCTCGTGCTGTGGATGCTTCACGTCCGCTGGAAGTTTGGAGGCTCGCTTTCGCTGGATCACGTCAAGCTTGGAGACGTGGTGTGGAGTGAAGGGATAAGCTCGCGATCCATGGCGCAGTATCACGCTTCGGCCTTCTCTAAACAAGAGCTTGCCATCGCCATCAAAGATTGCAAACGCAGGTATGCTTTGGACGTTTAGCTTGGTGCTAAGAATCAATTCCGTCCTCCTGTCTTGGAATGGCAGTGCGAGCCAAGGCATCGTCTGGAAGAACTCCATGAACTCGATGTAGTTCACGTCGTCCGAGACAAAGATGATCTCGATCGATCTCTTGCCATGCCTGGCGCGGATTTGCTCGTAGAGAGGGATCAGATGCTTGTCCACAAACGCTCGAGCTGTTGGATACCAGTGTGCGACGAAGGCCAAGCCATAGCACTTGAATCCTTGGAGGCTTTGGATGCTCACCTGGAAATAGAGTTACTTAGATGATTATATCCATTTCTTTCACCTTGGATCCGTCATTTCTAATGACATAGTCACGCTCTTCAGTTGCAATGAGTGACAAAATGGGTCCTTCCATGTTTGAAGTATGAAAACTATTATGGGATCTTGTATACCACCATGGAGTATATCACAAGCATAGCATAGCATTTTCCATGCTTTTATGTGAATATAAAGCGAGCAAAATCTCATTTTTTACCACTTATGATAAACATTTGCAAATCATCTTAAACTGAAATTGGAAGTGCTAAAATTAATTATCTGTTATGAATTTTATAGTGAATTTTATGCAGCATTCTTCTTCTCGAGGAAGAACTTTCGTCCAAGAAAACCAAGAACCCATAACAATGTGAGAAGAATCAGAACGACACTAATGAGGGCAACGCTCGTAGATCCTTTTCTTTGCTTGAAAGTGTCCATCATGGCACCAGCTTTGCCTTCAATTTGCGTGGATGGAGAATCCTTGATCTGATCCATTGCATCCTTGATCTGATCCTTTTTATCCTTGATCTGATCCTTCGCATCCTTGATCTCCTTCACAGGTGTTTTGGGGACTGGTTTGATGCAGTCCAAGTGTAGATCGTAGGAGCATTCCTTGCAATGGTAGCACCATCCACACCCATCCTCCTGGCATTTGTCACAAGTAAACATTGCGTTGTCATAGGGGTCTTTCACCAGCAGCAAGACATGCTCGTGCGCTCCATCTTTGAGTTCCACGGGAAGCTTGCTGGCGTTTTGATCCTCCACTTTTTCCAGGTCTCGGATGTGTTCTTGCGTGAAAGGAAAAGCCTTCGACCCAAACCTGGTGACCAAGCTGTAACCATACCTCGATAGCAATGTTGTTCCATTGGAACCAACAAGGACCAAGCTTGGCATCACTTCCACTTTGAAACGTCGAGCTAGCTTCGCAGTCGTAGCTCCTTTGACGTCGAACGGTAGTGCCAGCCAAGGCATTTTCTTCATGGATTGCTTGAAGCTCGCCTCATCCGTGTCACCCGAAACAAACACCACTTCGAATCCAACACCACCAGCGCCAGCGGTGGAAATCTTTTGGATTTCATCGTAGATACCCAGCAGCTTGTTGACGAAGTTGCTGCATGACTTGTTTGATTCCACCGAGAAGAGCAAGCCAACGATCTTTCCTTCGAGCACCTTAGTCTCCACCTTTCCAAGTGAAGGTCACAAAGAAGAAGATACAGTATCATACGTTTGTCCCCGTTCTAAAGTATAGGAGGCTTTTACCTGTGATTCGTCGTTCCGGAGGACGTGAGTGATTCCATTGCTGCGGAGGAAGGATACGAGAGACATTTCCTGACGAGCCATTTGCCACCAAGGCTGTGGCATTTCCCGGAGGTCTTATAGCCGGATCGAGAGAGAGGGAGTAGCTGTAACGTAATAAGAAGAATCTCACGAATTCCTGGCGTCGACAAGATCACACTTTTCCGATGTCTTGTTCAGTGTCCGAGTATGCCGATTTGCTACGGCAATGCGGGAAAAAGAGGAATCTCTTCGAGGGAAGGCAAATACACGAATCCATCGCTGCTGGCGAGCACAGCGGCAAGCTCTACCTTTCAAACCTCCTCATAGACATGTATGGCAAATGCGGGAGCGTGACAGATGCACAAAAGGTGTTCGAGCACACAATCCAGCCGAATGTTTTCAGCTGGAACATCATGTTATCTGTTTTTGTCCTTAACAATCGCCTCGAGCAGGCAAAGAAGATTTTTGACAAGATGCCCGTAAGAAACTCAGTCTCGTGGAACACCATGATCACCGCACATGCCCAAAAAGGGCATCTTGAAGAAGCACGTCAACTTTTTGATTTGATGCCGGAACCAAGAGTGGTGGTCTCATGGAACTCAATGATATCAGCCTATACACAAGCTGGGCATGAGAAAGAGGCCATGAGTTTGTTTGAAAAAATGCCACAGCAGGACACAGTAACTTGGAATATCATGCTTGCGGCAAATGCCCGGCTGGGGCATTTTCATGGCGTGGAAACGTTGTTTCAAGCGATGAAGGAGCGAGACATTGTGTCGTGGAACACTCTCTTGAGTGCCTACTGCCAAGCCGGAAAAACCTCCAGCGTCGCAGAAGCTTTCAATCGGATGCCACAGCACAATCTCGTCTCGTGGAACACTCTACTTTGCGCGTTCTCGCAGAGCAACCAGATCTCCCAGGCGAGAACTGTGTTTGAGCAAATGCCCCAGAAGGATCTCATCTCGTTTAACACGCTCCTCAGCACAATCGCCCACCACGGCCTTGTGGACGAGGCACTGTCGCTCCTGGAAAAGATGCCCGGGACGAACAACGTCACCTGGAACGCGATGATCGCAGCGTACACCCATAGGCCAGGGCATCTCGCGGATGCCAAGCTGATCTTCGACGGCATCCCAGAGCCGGACATCGTCTCGTGGAACTCGATGCTTGCGGCGTACGTACACAACCAAAGCTTGGACGAGGCTGAGAAGCTCTTCTCCTCCGCAATGCAAGAGAGGGATCTCGTGTCGTACAACTCAATGGTTGTGGGATATTCGCAGCACGGAAGCTTAGACGTGGCGAGGCGCACGGTCGAAGAGGCGATGCCGGAGCACGACTCCGTGTCGTGGACGGCGCTCTTGGTGGGATTTTGCGAGCGAGGCTTCGTGGAGGAGGCGAGGGAGGTGTTCGTGAAGATGCCGCAGAGGAATCTCGTGTCTTGGAATGCCATGGTTGCGGGATTTGCCGGGAACGGGCTTCTGGACGAGGCGATAGATCTCTTTCTGGAGATGCCGGAGCGCGATCCAATCTCGTGGAATTGCCTTATAGCGGCGCTCTCTCAGGCTGGATTCGTCGACGAGGCGAGAGGGCTGTTTGATAGAATGCCAATGCGGGATACAGCATCGTGGAACTCGATCATTTCTGCATATGCCCAGAGTGGGCATGTTTTGCAAGCTGAAAGTCTCTTTTCTAAAATGCCTCTCCGGGACGTGGTTTCGTGGACAACTATGATCACCATGTACGGTGAGCTACGCGATCTTGCTAGTGCTAGACGGACTTTTGATGCCATGCCTGAGAAAGATCTCGCGGCCTGGAATGCGATGCTTGGAGCCTATGCCGCGAATGGTCATCTCGACAAAGCAAGGGATGTATTTGAGAGAATGCCACGGCACTCTCCAGCAGCGTGCAATGCGATGATCACCGGCTATGGACAAGTGGGCAGCGTCGAAGAAGCGAGAAGAGTCTTTGATAGCATGACCGATCGAAACACTCTCACCTGGAACGCTATGGTTGGAGCGTATGCCCGTAACGGGCATATGAGACTGGCCGTGGAGCTCTTTCGGAGAATGAGGGGCGAGGAATCGGTGGCGATCGACGAGCTGACTTACGCTGCCGCCGTCGATGCCTGCGCTGGTTTGGGAGCTCTGGACGACGGGCGATTGATCCACAGTGAGATCTCGCTCACCAGCATCAGCCGCTCCCCAGAGCTCGGAAGCTCGCTCGTGAGCTTCTATGGGAAGTGTGGAGGGCTGGACGAAGCAATGAATATCTTCCAGGGGATGGAAGCCCGAGACACCGTTCTCTACACTGCCGTAGTCGCGGCTCACGCTGATAACGGGCAGCTCGATCTCGCCATGGAGTATCTCCAGGCCATGGAGCTCCAAGGAAACTCTCCAGACCAGGTGACTTTCAAGGCCACCGTCTCGGCATGCGCTCACGGTGGGATGCTTGACGATGGCCTCGCACTGTTTGGAGCGATGCTCCACAATTACTCCATCACTCCCACTCTGGAGATGTATAGCTGCATCATCGACGTCCTCGCTCGAGCTGGAAAACTTCGCGACGTCGAAGAGCTCATAAGATCCATGCCTTTTGAGCCAGACGCTGCCGCCTGGACGAGCGTGCTGAGCGCATGCCGGCTTGACGGTGGCAGCGAAAATCGCGACCTCGGCTTGCGAGCTGCTCAGCGAGCGGCGGGATTGAGTCCCACAGACTCAGCTCCATACGTGATGCTCGCGAATCTCTTCAAACACCACGATCATCGATCGATCGGAGCTACTCCTCCTCTCACCAATCCAGACGCGAGAGTGTAAGTTGACGACACATCCGGCCTCTTGCGATACAGACGCTCCACCACTCCGGCTCCTCGGTTCGCGTCTCCGTGCGTCTTACACGCCCCGAGAAGCGTCGTCCATGCAATATCATCAGGCTCGCATGGCATAGAATCCATGAGCTCTCGCGCCTCTGCCGTCCTCCCGGATCGTCCCAGCAGATCGACCATGATGCTGTAGTGATCCCTCTGAGCCGAGGTACCGAAATCTCCAACCATTGTCACGAAGAACTCCAATGCTACATCGAGTTTTCCGGCATGGCTACACGCCGACAAGACCGCAGTGAATGTTATCGGGTCCGGTGGAAGGCCGTCACACACCATCGCCAGGAAGAGCTCGATCGTCTCCTTGGTATGCCCGCTTTGCGCATAGGCCGTCACCATTGTTGTCCACACCACCACGTCTCGATCCACCGAGCTCTCAAACACCTGTCGGGCTTCTCCCAGGCAGCCACAGCGGGAGTACATGTTGATGAGCGCGCTCTCCACGACAGGATCTAGCAGACCGTTGTCGCTTGCCGCCATGTCGTGGACCATCCGACCGTCCGACAACGCGTTGGAACTGGCACAGGCGTCCAAGACTGCGACAAGAGTGATATTGTCGGGTTTGGTGCCATCCAAATCCATGGATCCCAGTAGAGTGAAGGCTTGCCGGGCTTGTCCGTGCTGGGAGTATGCCGTGATCATCGTGTTCCAGCAGACCAAGTTTCGGTGAGAGATTTTGTCGAAGAAACTCCTCGCGAGTTCTACGTTGCCGGATTTCGCGTAGGCCACCACCATGATCGTCCAGGAGATGGAGTTTTTGGACGGCATTCTATCAAATATGAGCTTGGCTTCTTCCGGGAGGCCATTCTGTGCATAGGCTCCCATCACTGCGTTCCACGAGGTAGAGTCTTTTCTCGGCATTCGATCCAGAACGCGGTGTGCTTCGTGAGGCTGGCGATTCACTGCATACGCATTGATCATAATGTTCCACGAGACGAGGTTGCGCTGTGGAGTCCGATCAAACAGAGACTTGGCCTCGGCAAATCGACCAAGCTGAGCGTATGCCGACATGAGAGTGTTCCATGACACAGAGTCGCGCTGTGGCATTCTCTCAAACAATTTTTTCGCATCGTCAATCCTTCCATGGATTGTGTAGCCCGACAGGAGAGCGTTCCAGGCGAAGACACACACCCCCGGCATTCTCTCAAGAAACTCCAGAGCTTTTCCCATATGCCCAGCTTGGGCATAAGCAGTAACAATTATACTCCAAGACACCGGATCTTTGTGTGGGATTTTCTCAAAGAACTCTTCCACTTTTCTCATTTCGCCTCTCTCTGTTAATGCCGTAAGCATTGCGTTGTAGGACGTTGTGTCCTTCTCGGGCATGCTTTCAAAAGTTTCAACCGCTTGCTCCATCTGCCCAAAATGAGCATATGCCGTTACCATCGCATTCCACGAGACAACGTTCTTAACCGGCATTCTTGCAAACATCTTCTCAGCTTCTTGGAGCTGCCCGTTCTGGATGTATGCGGCTATCATGATGTTCCACGAGAAGGAGTTTGGCAGAGGGATCCTATGAAACACGTCAAGTGCTCTGTCCACGCTTCCACACTTTCCATACATCTCGATGAGGAGATTGCTGATGTAGCGATTGTCCCAGAGATGAGTCCCAAGGATTTCCTCGTGGAGTCTCTTGGCCTGGCTTGGATCCTTGGATGCTGCAGAAGACCGGATCTGTTGGGCATAGAAAGCTTTGTTCTTGAGAAACGGGAGAGTCGAAGGAATTGGAGGAGATTCCGTGATGGACATTGCATAAGCTACCATCAAAGTAGAATCTGGTTCGCGTACGCTTTCTCCTCCTTTTGTTCTGAACTCCATTTGACTTTTTTTGACTTTCAACAAGTTGTGGGTGTTGACGTATTGCTATTGCTCATACCCTTGCAAGCAAGGTGTCGGGGGCCCTGAGTAACCCAGAGCTTCTCACCACGACCAGATTCACCAGCGAGGACGCTACGTAAACCTTGGACCCGAAAGCATTCTCTTCATTGCGACACAAACCTTGAGTCCTCTACTCTCATCGCCAACCGTTAGATTATGAATGGACGTATTAGATTTAACGGTTATCTAATTTAATGGCTCTCAAAAAGCAAATATAGAATCAATCTGGATATTTGAAGAAGATTCCCTTTTTAAATAAAAGCTAATTATTTGTTTTTGTCTCCGTAGGAGCGTTGGCTCCAAATGAACAGGTTGGCGATCCTGCAAAAGTCATCGGCTACGAGCATCAAGTTCTAGCTGTGGCTGCATCCCGCCAAGCTACAACCTCGAGTGCTGTGCTCCCTCACCATGGGCCGATCTTATGCTTCTACAGCTCCTGCAGGGCACTACACCCAAGTCCATGCTCCCATCCAGAATAAATACTTAGCTTGCATCTAGTATGTAGTGGCTCATGATCCATGCGTCCCTGGCTGCTTCAAGCTTGTCTTGTTTAGGTGGCAGCAGAAAGGCTTAGCCACCTGGATCTATGATTCCGGAACCAACTCATGGACCAAGCGGAGCAGCTAGCTTCTGCTCTTGGGTCTCTTTTGATCGAGTGCAAGAATGGGCTCTGCTCCAGTCCTTGTGCATAACTTGGTTTGAAACACATGCAACAAATGAAAAGACGGCATATATCTTTTCTATGAGGCATAGCTGTATAGATAGTTTTTCCCAAGTGGAGGCATCCTGAAGAAATGCAGGTGGGATTGGTGAAGTAAGGCAAGAAGGGAAATTAGGGCCACTATCTGCTTCCTTCTAATGCCCACATTCCCCACAACCAGACACAAAGCATTATTCTATAAAAGTGAAGCAAGACATTATCATGGACTTCGAGCAAATTCCACTGATGTGGCACTTAGGAATGTCATGCATTGCCTTCAAAGTCTGGATTGAAGTAATGATCAATGAGCTGTGAAGAGGGCAGTCTTGCAAATACTTGTCAGGGACAATGGGGGTAGGGGGCAAATTATAATTATAAAACTTAATTTTCCTTTTCCTCAGGAATGTATAATTGAAACTTGGAAACACTCTTTTCATGTTATCCTTAGTTTTTATGATGGAATATCCATTCTATTGAACCAACAACTTTTGAATTGTTTTGCAACATGTCTTCACCAACCTTGCTCCATCTGTCCTATTGATCAGTCGCTCATAGACAGTCAAGATGTTACATAGTAGATCTACATAGCACAATCTATCTTGTATGGTTCTAGAAACTAGAAAGACTACTAGGACCAAATTGGTCAATACTTTCTGGAAACAGCTTACAGTTATGTGCCATATGCTCATATTGCGAGATGGTAAGACAACCAATTTAAGCAATTAAAGAGCAATTTATCTGTTGGTTCTATGCTCACAGCATTTGACATTGTGAAGAATTATACATTCATGAGGCAAAATGAGCCACAAAGTATGCACTAGGCTAGGCCACAATGTACAATATTCATTGTCCTTTTGCACTTTTTCTCTGATCTATGCATGTTCAATGTCAAAAGGTAGAAACCATGCATCACCTTCGAAGGAGACACACTTGTTTGTTAGTGACATCAGAAATATGATGGATATTTTGCCAATTATTGCTTGGACATATGCCTTCAATGGCTCAGAAATTATAGAACACCAGTGCAGCAACATTATTAGTGGAACAATGGCCCATCCAACCAGTTTTGAAACAAGTTCTTCCTTAGTTATGCAATGATATTTGCAGCAAATGCAAATGCCACTATTGTGGGCATGGCAAGGGGAAGCATGATGGTTATAAGTATCTCCTCTGCAAGGAACAATTAAAGGAGGGTTAAGTGGTACTTGTGATGTGGTGGACAGAAGTTAGAGGTTAAAGTTTATAACATATAAATATGCTATAATTTATAACACAGCAATTGAACATACCTAGAATATACTTGAAGATTCTACCATCAAATTATTGATATACTCATGCATCCACCACTACCACCCTAGTCTGGTTCTTGATTAGACTTTAGCTTCTCTTATAGATTTTCTTATGCAATATAATTGAATACTAACATTTTCTTAATATTTTAGATACGTTTTACATTTTTATTAGCACTTCACACATTTTTATCATTAAATTTTATTAGTACTTCACTATTCATATCAATTAACAAGTATTAAGGTTTTAATTTCTACTAAAAATAAGAATTATTATTTATTAGCTTTAGTTATATTGAATTTACTTAAAGGTTCTTAAGAAAGATTAAAATATAAACATGTTTATATTTATAAACACGAGATTAATCTGAATTATTTTCAACCATTAAATGGTAGTATACCAAGCATATTCTAGGTATATCCACTATCCCTCTACAGGTTTGCTTAAGCAACTAAAATGTTTTATATTTGTATTATAATTGATTAATGTCAATAGTTCTCCTATATAATAAACCTCATCAAACATGTTTAAATAGTATTTTATTTAGATGTAGTGCATTTTAAATTTGTTTTGATGTGGCAAACATGTGGCAAGAGCAAAGCAAATGTTATTAGTACTTTTCTATTCATATCAATTAACAAGTGTTAAGGTTTTAATTGCTGTGTTATAAATTATAGCATATTTATATTTTATAAACTTTAACCTCTAACTTCTTTTAGAGTTTGCTCAAGCTAATGTCCACCACATCACAAGCACCACTTAACCCTCCTTTAATTGTTCCTTGCAGAGGAGATACTTATAACCATCATGCTTCCCCTTGCCATTCCCACAATAGTGGCATTTGCATTTGCTGATAAATAATAAAGCTAAAGCTTACTAGCTTAACCAGCTTATTACTAAAGCTAATAAATAATAATTCATATTAATAGAATAATTCTTATTTTTATTAGCTTAATAAAGCTAAAGCTATTTACTAGCTTTAACTAGTACCAATCCACCAATATGCTTCCACCACTACCAAGAGACATCTCAAGAACTTCAAGTATATTTAATTGCTGTGCTATAAATTATAGCATATTGGTGGATCTGTAGGTGGTACTAGTTATTCATGATCCTTTTGTACGAACTGTTTCAAGTACTACATATGCATAATTTCTAAAGGATCAGTCCATTGAATATCATGTCAAATGTAGTGCATGTGGTTTTTACCTTTTATCCTATAATGATTTACCATAAGATAATCACGAAGTAGAACCTAAACCCTTTATGTGCCATGTGTCACATACTATGTGTCCAAAGGACAGTGGTGTAGAACCTAAGTTATAGGGCCTTGTGCCATTGAACAAAGGAACAGTACAAAACTCCCAAGCATGGAGCCAAGAAGCAATGGCACTGGAGCACAAAATGACTCCCAAGTGTACAGCCTAGGGAGTGAAAGAACAGGAGTGCAGAGCAATTTGAAACAATCCTAGAGTATCTAACATCCCAATGCCAAGACCAGCACGCAAAACAAAGCCAAATGGAGTTTGGCACTATTTTAGTATATTGGTGCCCTAATGTAAAGATATGAGTACTCCACCAGCTAGTATGGAATGGAACTTGAGCTTAGACCCAAGCAGATGCAGAACAAAGATATGCATGTAAACGGGAGCTAAATTATGCTTTAGATTGGTCAACTATGCCTGACCTACCCACTAACCCTACTATACATTTGGAACCCCCCATGGCCGCCCCTCCCCCCCCTAGTTAGGAACACACGCTTTGGACCCCAAGCCTCCCTTAGTACCAAGAGTTAGTCTCTGGGACAAACTCCAAACTTATTAAATATGGAATGTCCTTAGATTGCGGATTTGGACACGGGATGAACACCATTGTGTTTAGGACAATCTCTACATTTCATAGATAAACAAATCTAGACACTTTCCATAAATAGCATTTGGGACTAAAATGAGACTAACACAAAGGGCATGATAGTGAGGGTGTTTAGCAGACACGGTAAACTATCATCCAGTGATATTGAGGGACTAGTTTCAATACGCAAAGTTTTTTGTCAAGCCAGTGCAAGACAAAGCAAAAGAGAACTAACAAGTCGGGCCAAATATACTTGGCTAAATAGACATTTAGGAATTTGTCCTTATGCTCATCCAGCCAAGTATAGATGCAAAGTCCAACTTACTAACACTTTAACAAGAGGGATTGATAAAGGGTCCCAGCAATACCGACCTCCTTCCATTGTGGTAGTAAGGAAAGAATATCTGAAAGGACAACTAACAAGTAACTTTCGATACCCAAAGTCATATTCATAACACTCTCCCCCCTTTAGAGAAAATTGACATCCTCGTCGATGCATACTCCAGTCTAGACCATTGGCAAGGAAACAACTTTAGAAAAAGTTCACAGTGATCACACTATGTGATAAATGCACCAACTTAAATGAGTTAGGGTAACCTCTTTGTCTAACACGGATGCGCTACCTTTTGGCTGTCACTGACAAAGAAATGACCAATACAGTCAGCCACCCTTGCTGCTCTGGGTGTCACCCAACTTACAAAAGTGTGATACGCCCTTGCTTGTAGGGACATAGAGAGAAAAGTCAGAGGCCCTAACCCTTATGAGCAAAGAAACCAAACCTGTCAGTAAGGTTTAGATAGACTATTGTAAATAAGCAGTTAGAGTTGTTTACACAGTCACACCCTTTATAATCGAATAAGGAACATCAACAAAGAGGCAAGTGATGTGACTAGTTAACAATAGCTACCCCATGACTAAAGATTTCACGAAGTGCCGAAGCTAGTCTGCCTATATTGGCCCAAACTCAAAGATCAATAGATGGATAATATCAAAGTCATAGACAATGATACCATAGAGACTTAATTATCAGTGACTAAATATATTAGAACATAAAAGTATCCTAAGCAAGTTATCATTTGATAAACTAGTATTAGAGTAC